AACCCCGAAGTCTCGCTGTTCGTTCCTCGAACAATGTCTCATGCCCACGTTATCTCCAGTATTGTGGTGCACCCGTCACTGAATCCATCTGTGCTCACCGCTCCCTGGGTCCGGGAAAACCTCGAGGAGCAATTCTGCGGAACGACCGATGCTGCAGGTGCTGGCATGGCTCTCTCCAACACTTCGGCCGGTCTCGCTACCGAAGACCCTCTAGCCGACATCGTTTAAGCTCGATTTGACACGCTGGTCGACATTGCGTCCTGTCAGGAGTTTTAGGTCTTTGGCCTAGGCTTTTCATTCTTATTTCCGGTTTCCTTGTCCTATTTCGCAGTTAATTCATTCGTAGTAATCCATGAATCGATCGTAATTCTCCATATTTCATCTCGAAACCAATCCATCCTGTCGAAAACTCGTTCTCATCAAATGCAAACATACAATTATGGAACATTCCGGTACAGTAGTCTTTTTCATCTGCTACTGTGGGCTGTACCGAGGTCAATCTTCGCTTGTTGTTGCAACTAGTCCCCGTCCGCAACTTGGATCATTTGCAGACGTCGGCCACAGCGTTTTTCGCGCAAGTAATCGTAGAGGAGGCCTTCACATGATAAGTCCGACGCCGGTTCCCAAGTGGGCGTATCATACCCGACCCACTTCACTAGGAAATCTCGGACAGCTCGTTCGGTGCTCGTTAGCAGTGGCACTCGGTCGTCAAGGATAGGCTCGACATCAAAGTCTCCTGCCAGATGGCCTGGCTCACAACTATCTTCAGGTGATAACTCCTCTTCGAAGTGAAGCCTTGAATTCTAGGTCACATCCGCGGCCAACCGACTCCTTGGTCTGTCTTCAAACTCACTTACCGCCTTCAACGGGGACACATGCACCACTGGGCAGAACCTATATCCACTTCGATTAGGCAGTTCGAGCTCGTACGCGAATTCGTCCACCTTCTTCTTCACCCTGTAGGGTCCGTGCCATCTGTGGGCAAGTTTCTTCGTCAGCCCAGGTTTTACTCATTCTATGTAAAGCGAAACCCGGCTCCGGGTTCAAACAGTGATTGTAGCGTGTCGTCCGAGACCTTGGTCGGATTCCCTACCTCATGCTACCTGATCCAAGAAGTAACGATTGCTCTTGTACCAGGGATTGTCGCCTTTTCGCGATTGCTCAGTGATTCGTTGTGTTTTGCCGCTCCTCGCTCTTTCTCAGTTGCTTGATACTTTTTTCATCTTCAGTGCAATGCCTTGCTGCCGGTTAAACTTTTCGATGCCAAGCCCAAGCGTCGGACTGTTGCCCGTTGCCGTTCCGAAGCGACGAGGACATCTCCTTGAGTGTCGATTGCGCATCACATCCATGCACGAGGTAAAACGGTGTTTCTTTTCTCGTGGTGTCCGACGAGTTGTTGATCGCGAAGATCCGTTTCTCCGCTATCTTGTCCCAGTCCTGTTGCAGTGGATCTTCCGCACAAACCCTTACCGACAGCATGACTGTTTTCACTGAGCGTTCTTGTTGGTCGTTAGCTTGCGGCCGATAGCTCAAGGTGGCTCTAGATCTCGACTGCATCATCTCAGCGACGATTTGAAATACCTCGCTCATGAACCGCGTGTATACCTCGCTCATGAACCGTGGGTCTCGGTCGTGTCTGATTAAAGAAGGCGCTCCGAACCTTCGGTAGAGACATTCCTCGAATGCCTGTGCCACGCTTAAGGCAGCCGTGTCTGACATGGCCTTCTCCATCACAAATCCCGTAAATGCACACTGGAACAGTAGTAGCGCCGTGTTACCTCTCCGAGACTTCGGTAGCGGTATCACAATATCCATGGTTACCAGTTAAAAAGATCGCTCCGGCAGTACATTGCTGGGCGAGTATCCGCGGTCGGCTTTTACTCGATCTGCTGTCGGGACACCAGCGTACGTGACGCGCCACGTCCGCGTATAACCCTATCCAATAGTCAATCCTCACTTTACGGAAGGTCCGTTGGATACCTTGATGACCACCTTCCAGTGAATCGTGGCAGTTCTGCAACCCCTCTTGAATCATCGTTGAGGGTACCACTAAGCGCAGCGTAGTCCCCTCTTGCTGTTGGTCTTTTCTCCGACGGTTCACTCCTAGGTAGTACAGAACATTGACTTCGCTCATGATGAATCCGCCGGACATTTTCCACGCATCTCTCGCCGCTCTGTAGTTCAATGTCGCTTCTTCTCCGCGTAACACAGTCTTCACGTTTGCCCATCTCAACTCCTCGTCTTGCGCCGTCACGATCCTTCTCCGGCGTTCCTTCTGGACTTCTAACGGGTTGATATTTTCCGCGTTGGGCGACATGGGTTTGTTCCCGTGGATCAATAAAGTGGACGGTATCTCGGAGATTGAGAGTTGGGGGGTGGTCTGGTCTACTAGAAAATTCCGATGTTATTTAGACAAGCGAGAGTTCGATCTCTACACTGATCATCAGGCCTTAACCTGGATATTTAGTCCCGGCAACCGTACTAGCAACGCTAAACTAGCTAGGTGGGCTATGGAATTGTCGAACCTTCAGTTCAAAGTGTATCACAAACCTGGGACGGCCATGGGGCATGTAGATGGTTTATCTCGACTCCCGGTCGAACGTGTGGCCGCTTTGACTATGGCTGACTTACTGAACCCTACTAACGGACCGTTCCCTGAAGGCCCGCTGGCGCTAGAAATAGACCCGAGCCCGTGACGACCGACGCTTTCGAAATGGTGCCCGAGGCCGAATTCGACGGCGACTTTTCGGATGAAGAGATGAAGAAGACGAGGAAGACGAGGTGCCTCCTTGGGAATCGCCCGTGGATCCGGTGGATGCGTTCCGACTCGACTCCGAACAGCTTGTTGTTGAGCAGCAGAGCGTCTCGTGGATTAAAGTGCTCTGTGAGTGCGTCCTGAAAGACGGTGGGATCCCCATAAATCCCTTCCTCCGTACTCAGATAGTAAAGATGGCCCTTGGTATAAAGTCGAAGAAGGGGTTTGAAGCGCCGAGTCAACTTGCCGGCTCGTGCCGGACATGCCCGTACCAGATATGTGCCGGTTGTGCCTCCCTCCTACGTAGAGACCGTACTCCACTTCTCTCACGGTGATGTGATGTCAGCTCATTTGGGGGTTAGCAAGACGCCGGAGCGTGTCCGACAACAAGCGTTCTGGCCGGGTTGGAGGAAAGATTTGAAGGAGTTTGTTCGTGGATGCAGTTATTGCGGTGCTGGAAAAGGGTCTCTGCGCTGGAGGGCTGGACAAATGCAAAGGATGCCTATCGTCGATCTAACAGGACTTTTCTCGCTAGTGGTGGTCGACGCTGTGGGACCTCTCGTGTCGACCGAACGCAACAGCAAGTATATCCTTGTCTTTGTCGACTACTTCACGCGTTGGGCCAAGGTTTCGCGGTTAAACGGTTGGATGACTTTTGTAGAAACGTTGGTGAACGGTGTGGTTTCCGGTACGGAATTCCTTCTCGTCTGTTGAGTGATAGAGGTTCTAAGTTTATTTCGGACCTGACCAAATCATTCTACGAGACTTTAGAGATCAAGAAACGGTTTGGTCGGCATATCATCCTTAAACTCAGGGTCTCGTAGAACGGTCAACGGGACCCTGCTTAGGATGTTGAAAATGTACGTGAGTGAAGCTCAAGAAGATTGGGACGTCTATCTTCCTCGTGTACTATTCGCTTAACGAACAGCCTACCATGAGGCTCTTGGAGATACCCCTTTTCTCTTTATATGGCCGAGACCCTGTGCTCCCGTTGGATGTAGCTTTCTTAAACCTACGTGAAAAATAAAAGAGCAACGAAGTGGCTCAATATCGTCGTGAGTAGCATAAGTCGCTGAGAGACGCCCGTCATGTTGTTGAACGCCAGTTGGTCAAGGCGCAGGACCGGCACGAGAAACGACTACAGCACCAAGAGACCGTTCATTTCGAGATCGGTGATCCGGTTTGGGTTTATCAATTCTTCCGATCTCGTCGAGGGGAAAACAGGATAAAGAAGTTCGAGGTCGAAGGAGAGGGCGCTGACGATGGTCCTTTAGGGGAGACTGATTTGCCGTCTTCGAGCTTCACGGAACGGTTGACGGTGGCTCAGGAAGATACTGTCATTGCCGGTACGGACAAACCTCTTCTCGAAATAGTGGCCAAACGAACTATTAACCCTATCGTGAGCCACCTTCATTTACTATATCATACAAAGCTAACACACTCACATAGAAAATGAAGCATCATGCTACGTTATAGGTAGGTGATGGGCCTCTCCGACTAGGTGCGATCCGACTGGCGTGATTCCCGCAGCGAACGGACGATTGAAAAAAGTAGCATTATGCTTCCTTTTAATAAAATATGGTACTATGCTGCCTTGATTGTAATTGGCCATAAACTCCACGTGTATTTTTATTCGTTACTAATTAGCCAATCATAATAGAGGAATGGTGAAGACGTTTATCATGGAATTCCCATCCCCACATGCTATCTTCGAGCAGAGACGTCTCCCTGAAAGATCAGGCGCTCCCCGTACCGATTATCTGTACTGCTTTGAGTATACAACATGTCGAATGTGGAAATGTTTAAAAGCATTTACAGAAACATTTGATATATATTAAAACTGACAATGAGCCAATAACAGGCACTATATTGTATTGTTAAAACTTATACTAGATGGCGACTGCAGGCTGAACCGTTCATTTCAAGATTTCTCCCTCTCGCCACAAATGCCTCGGGAGCACGCGCTTGAGAAAGCGCCTTTAGCCAAGTGACGGCGGACGGAGAAGGTTGCGGACGACGCTACAAGTAAAAGGTTGACAACAACGCTCGACTTTCACGGTGTTTGGCGCGAGTTGAAGACTTCAGGATGGACTTCGAAACCTCCCCGTGGACTGCACAACAGGTTTCGCTAGGTTCTTCCGGGTTGTGCGAGGCTTCCGATTCCTTGTCTACGTTGCGGCACTCAAACACTGTCGATGAACCCGGGTTGTGCTAGGCTTCCGATTCCTTGTCCACGTTGCGGCACTCAAACACTGTCGATGAACTCACCCGTGACTGCAATCGCGTGGGCCATGCACGTCGGCTCGAATGTCGTGAAACCGCCGGCGTACCCCGTTGTGATGTCGCCTGGCATTAGTTCAAAAACGGCAAACAGCTGTGGTGTAGTAAAATCACTTCTGAACCAACGGTAGGAAAAGACCGCGAAATTATTATCAGATCCACATAGCTGGATATCCTCGATCCTCACATCTTCCGTCGTCACAGGAACTTCCGGCAGTACCGCCATCTGACCATCGACGTCTTCTGCGTATAGATCACTTCCTTCATGGTAGTATACACATTCATCATAACCTGGATCTGAGTTCAAGGTGAGGTCCAGATCCGATGTGCCTGGTTGATCTTCAACAACAGGTGATGGATCCATGTCCGTTTATTGCGACATAGATGCGGCGCACTTGTCGTTCAACGGATCACCGGTCACATGACCCGTCCCCGATTGTACACTCATCATTGATGGCAGATCCGATCCGCCGCATTTCGACGGTGATGTTCCTTGATCTTGACTTCTCGAATGTAGTTGATCCTGACTGACAACCCCAATTTCATCTCGATCATCCTCTCCTCGCGTTTCCACCACGTCTGTAGTTTCCTCCAAAGACGGATTAGTCGCCCACACGTCTGACGTCACTTGATCGACATCTTCTAGCGCTTCCTTGACCGTTACGGCATGGGATATAGAGTCTTCGTCTGTGATAGACGACAGATCCGACTCCTCACTTGCGACAGACGCTAGATCCAACGGTCGAATTTCCGACGACGATTTGTCCGACGGCAATTTGTCCGACGGCGACTCGTCTGAGGGTAGGCAGTCAGGAATATCTTGATCCTGACTCGCCTCGACCTTCCGACACTGGATCAACGTCGCCTTCGGTCTTTGGAGTATTGCACGCGGAGTTTCGTACTCGGTCGTTCCACCGCGGGCACCAGCGGGATCTTGACCTCCATTTCTTCGGATCGGGTGTATGTCGCATCTTCCAACGCTAGATTCTGCCACTCCATGTAACGACGAGAGCCGATAGAGATAAAACCCGTGCAGATGGAATCGCTGGGACTGATTTTCTACTTGGCGAAGAAGCTGTTCTTGAATACTACGTCCTACAATGTAAGTATCCATGCGTTTCTGTTCTGTGGTTCTGTGGCCGGATGTTGCTGATGGTCGTGCTCACACAGGCGATGGGAATACGAGTTCTACCGGTGGAACAGGGCACGGCGGTGCTGCAACTGCTCTACATGGCGGTGCGTGCATCGTTGTGGTGTGGACATCGTCTGCGTGTTAGTGTTGCTGACGGTGGAGTACATGCAGGAGGCTGTTTGAGTGGTAATGGATCCACAGAGTTGGATAGCGGGGCTACGCTTGATCAACGTGGCGGTGCGTGTGTCTCTGTGGTGTGGTCATCGTCTGCGTGCTTGCGTTTCTGACGGTGGTGTACATGCAGGTGGCCGTTCGAGTGGCAAAGAAGCGACAGAGCTGGATAACGGAGCTACGTTTGATCTAAGTGGCGGTGCGTGTGTCTCTGGGGTGTGGACATCGTCTACGTTGTTGACGGTGGTATACATGCAGGTGGCACTATTGCTGGTGTTCGTGACGCTCGAGTGGATGTTGGCTGTGTGGCGGATGGTCGTGGTGGTCGTGCTACTGGCGAGTTGACTGGAGCTCGTGGTGGTGCCGTTCGAGCCGGCGGTGAAGCTGATGCTGGAGTGGGTGTCGTTCGCACGGCCGACAGCTGTGGTGCTGGTCGTGGTGTTAGTTGCCTCGAGGAAGGTAGTGTCGACATAGACAACAGCGGTGCAAATGAAGTGAATGTTACACGAGTTGATGGAGTTGGTGAGGTCCACCACAGAACCATTTCACCACAACAACAGCCTTCCCCATCGAGCAGAACGCCTCGCCCCTGCCGACCCCCCCTGCTTGAAGAACTGTTCTCAAGAAGTTTGTAGCCTAAAACCCAGCGAAAGAATCTTGGATGAACAAGAAGACCTTTCGGTGCGTGGGCACAGCTTACGTAGTTGGGCGAGTTGTTCGACAAATCAAGCGACCAACAGGTGGACGCATTCTGCAAGTATTGTGGCTTGACACCCAGTTCCAGAACGCTGTAACAAATCTCAATGTGGCGACCGTGCAACGCGGAATAGATAATTACCAAGCGCTCAGGCGTTTACCCAACCATCCGGCCTGGCGAGATCTGACTGACAACTTCGTCGAGGGTATCGACACACCTCTTGATGAGCTCGAAGTTTTGACCCACAACGAGCAGTATGAATTGTATGATCCTGGACAGCTCCTCCCAGTTAGTCTGGCAGAAGTCGAGGCAGTGAAAATTATGCGCTTTTAACCTGACATTCAAATGGCTGCCCCCAATGATCTTTTCGAGAGAAGAGACTAAAGCACAACAACACAGCTGTTGCCTGAGTACCGACATTTATTTTCTCATTCAGCCTCATCCAGCTTCTTAGCCTACTTGCCGATGTACTTCTGGAAGCAGGTGGTGGTTGAGACGAATCAGTACGCTGCTATCAAGAAAGTCCGCATCACATCTCTATTCACTGTCGATGAACTCATGATTTTCTTGGGCATCATGTTTTACATTCCACTAGCTGAGAAGGGAGAATACTCAAACTATTGGGGTCCACAAACAGAAGCTGCGATATTCGGTAGAAGCTTGACACGCCTCGACAGCATTATCAGTTTAAATCGATTCAAGTTACTTCGCCGCTGTCTCAGCTTTCGAGCTGACCCCGGGGAAACTTTGCAACGTGATCCCGCCGCAAGAATTCGACCTTTGTTATATTTGTTGAAGTGTACTGGTGGGCGATACGTTGAAGTTAGTCGCAACCTCACATTAGATGAAGTCAGTGGCATGCCGGTCACGCCAAGGACGCCATCTTATTGTATTCAATCCACAAAAGCCGGGTGGAAAGTATCACTTCCGCATTTATGTAGTTTGTTGCGCTACGACATGGATTGCTTTGAACTATCGTCTCCACTGCAATAACAGTGATATCGCGGACCGGTTACAGGATTTGGCTACTCAAGCAGAGATTCAGCAAATTCGAGAAGAATTCGAGAAGATTAGCCAAGTCAGAAAGCACGTCCTTGAGGTAGTGAGACCGTATTTTCACACACGCAGAATCATAAACATGGACAAGTACTACACAAGTGTGCAGTTGCTGTTAGAACTTCGGTTAAAGGTTCTGTACGCATAAGGAACCGTTTGAAGTACCAGCAAGCATTATCCACGACACTCTATTCTGGTCAAGGATACAGCGTCTCGAGGAGATTTCCAGTAGTCTGTCGCAGTGGATCATAACCTGCTTGCAGTGTCCTGGTGCGATGGTAGCATCGTGACAATGGTTACAAATGCTGCCAGTTCTGCACCTACAACTGTAACACGTCGGATTCGAGATGAGAGCTGCGAGTTTGCTGCCCCTAGCTGTATCATGGAGTATAACCAGCACATACAAGGTGTAGATCGGTTAGATCAATTGCGATCTAAATTTTCACTCGCGGATGGACACTCCTACAAACGTTGGCATAAGAAATTGGCCTTAGCTCCCATCGATATTGCACGTGTGAATGCATATTCGACACGAAAATTGGCAATCGACACTTAAAAAACCGGGATCCACAGAGAAATGTTATGGCTGAATTGATATCCGAATTGATCACTAGAAAATGGAAATCAGCTCCTAGTGAAAGTAGGATGGCGTATACGAGTGACGATTTGGAAACTGTGGCAGCAGAGCCAACCACCGCACCCTCAAGCCATCAAGTTACTCCGGTAATTGGCGGAAAAATTGAAAATCAATGTGAATCGATGACGTCAAGGCAAATGTTTCAGGGTGAAGGCGGAAAGAAGCGGCAGTGTATTGTATGCCGATTTGAAGAACGATATCCAACTGAAGTGACTGATTACTGCCACACGCACTCTGTGTGCCTATGCCGAGGTATGCACGACTATGTGGAAAGGCCATTCATCTGCACACAGAGTACCTGGACGTGTTGGGATAAGTTTCACAAGTTCTATCTACCAAACGGGCTATTCACTGACAAAGGAAACGTGCGAAGGTCATCACAGCTGGCTAGGCTGAAGGCTTAGCATTGCCCCAAACCCCCGAATAAAATCCCTGCAGCTCAACCGAACGGAGTAGCTCGGCAAATTTTTGAATAGAACGTTCCGTGTAAATATATGGAATACACTATACTGATGTTTTCAGTGGTGTAAATCATTTGTTTAAATTATCCAGTCTCTACTTTCAGTTGCCTAAATGTACCATGTAAATGACTTGTTTGTGTTAGTGTATTATAGTACCCGCCTTCATTATTCTCTCACAAGTTTTCACTCCCTAGGTCGACGACTTCGTTGTTCACTGCTTATAGGTAGAGAGGAATGGGCTGGGATTTCCAGCTACAACGACCATAACTTGTCTCCACTTTTCACAAAACCTCCTCTTGCACGAACTTCTATGGCGAGGGCAATAGAGTGACGTCGATACTACCAATCTTGCTTTCGGCATATGACTGAGCTCTTGCTGGATAACTAGCTTCGCCTCTTCGGTGAAAAGTAAGTCGTTCAGAAACACAATTGTAGCTGCATCGAATGGAGCTCGCATTGAGAGTGGGATATCGAGAACATCCCCGATGAGAACAAGTACCTTCCGCAGATGAGCAAGTTGTGGTACATGTGACTGTACACACCTGGGTCCAGCCCCAATCACTTCTCTGCGCTACTCAATGCCTAAGTACCTACGAGATTTTGTCTGGAGGGCAACTTGTGCAACTACGTGGTCAAGCCCTGCACCCACATCTAGAAATATATCCCCCTGCGTTATTTCTCCAAACATGCGAATGATACGTGATACCGGAGCAGGCATCCCCTCGCCTGGATTCTCGTCGATCTTCCCAGCTTGTTGGAGAACGTCAGCAGCAGAGACATAGCGATAGATATCTTGGATGACTGTTTCAGCTTGAGCAGGCTGTATGCGCATCAATACAAGAGGCGTGACCGGCGGAATATCTCTCTTCGCCACTTTGGGAAGTAAGCACGGAGGAAAACGTGTGATGTCCTTGCCGTACGTGCGCTTCAGTGCGCGAAGCATCTGCTCCAGTTCCTGCGGTTGACGCTTCCTCCTCATCCTGCCTGCGAGGTCATTCCAGGCGATGCGCTTTCCCGCATTCGCGTATTCCAAAGCAAGCGCAACGAGCTACTTGTCCTCTCCGTCCAAAACGTCAGTGCGCATGACCACCAGGTCGATTGATACGAAAGTATCGTAGTTTTAGTATCTGGAAGGGAGAATCTCTATATAAATACGGCCCTGTCCACTCTCGACAGGATTAACATTGGGATCTGTTCCCCTTCCTAAAGC